GTGTGTGTGTGTGTGTGTGTGTGTGTGTGTGTAATCTGCATTTGCTTTAGCTGCCGCTAAACAGAACATGCACTTTTAAACGAGCGAGACTTCGTCATGACTGCACAGACTGAATCAGAAAGAGAAACATCTTTTCTCCCCAAAAATCTGCAGGGAAAGGAACACACATTACACACACTTCACAGGAGAGACTGAGTGCAAATGTTCTTTCTAAATCCATCCAAGTAAAAAAAACACACTTTTGCATCCACGAGTTTAGACAACACTGCTGTTCAGCCTGAATGTTAAAGCTCGTCTTTCATAAACCAGAAACCACTTCTTTTATTTTCCGTCCACTGCTTCGACAATCCTGCAGCGTTAGACACGGGCGGCATTAGAGACCCGTTTTCTCATGAGTGCTTAGTAGCCATTAATAATGCAGAGAAAACACTAGTATTGTAGTTTGTCTTCAGCACAGCAGGAAGAAGGTCAGTCCACCAAAAAGGGACCCATTCACATTATCACGCATGTAAACGAGAGTTTCTTGCACTTCTGCGATGAAAAGGATGCATGGAGAAAGGTTACAAATGGATAAAAGAGCAAAAATAAAACATTGTGCCGCATTTGAAAGAAGGTATGAAGATCTCAGGAGGCCAAACGGAACGCCGGTAGGCTTCATCGTAAATCACAAAAGGCCATCAAACCTTCCTCTAGAACCACAGGTCACAGACGTTACCTAAAGGCTGGAATAAATCAAGCAGTCAACAACAAAAATGTATTATTCTAATAAAAGAAAAAACAAGTCTATGCAAAGATGTCACTTTTTTAAAGTAAAGTAGATGTACAGACGCTGTTTTTCCATGATTCGGAGTCTGATGCTGGGAAACGGAACTGAGTGTGCACGCATACCCCAAAAACATCCTGGTTTCTGAATTGCTTGCACTCCCTCTTGCATGTGTTTCTTCAAGGACAACGGTGGTACCACTCGAACGTAAACTGCATTGTCCTACAAAAACAAGCGGCTCCTCAGATTTAAGAGGAAGTTTAAATGAATACTGAGAAAAACTCAAAGCCTAAATGCTCAGTTAATGAATTAGGAGGAAAAAACAAGCAGGATTGAAGTGTCGGATATTATCGGCCGATGGGTGTAGGAGACTATTCTATGTTCAGCCTGCATGAAAAACTCAGAATGACAGATTATAATCTGATACAATCAATAAAAATGTTTTCAGTGTTCTACTCCTTTAAAGTAGTTGTCCAATTTTGCTCCGACAATGTTTACAGTGTAGGAATGCATGGTAGAAGGCAGGAATGTTGTTAGCTAAAACACTTTTATCAGGGGAGGACCCCTCATATCGGTTTATATCAGTATCGGAAATTAAGGCCTAGTCCACACGTAGCCGGGTTTTTTCAAAAATGAATATCCGCCCCTCCAAAAACTTGAATCCACACCACATCGTTTTAAAAATAAACTCTGTCCACATGTACCCGGATAAATACGTTGTTAAGGACATGCCAGACCTGTAGGCGGCAGTACTTCCCCCGTTCTTAACCTTGTCCTTCGTCTGTGGTCTTCCTCAAGGAGCAGTAGTTCCGCTTGCAAAAACAAACAAGCAAAAAGCGCTTGGACAACTGATAAAGCGAGCGCAGCTCTGAGGGCATCCATGCTGTCGGCTAGTGTAAACACAGGTCGCACACATGATGTCAGCATTTTTTTGTCGTGGAAAGTGACGTTGCGGACCTTAAAACTCCGGTTTTGTCTGTCCACACGCAGACACCCAAAACGGAGAAAACGCAGATCTTCACTTTGGCCGGAGTTTTTAAAAAGATCCGTTTTTGTGTGAAAAAACTCTGTTTTTGTGTGGATGACAGGCCAAAACGTAGAAAAATATCTACGTTTTGGCAGATCCCCGGCTACGTGTGGACAGGGCCTAAGAGTCACTGTAAAAAAGCAGATATCAAAAATCCCTAGTTTGAAGCTTTCTGAGTGAAAAGATCTTATAAATAAAACTACATAATGGTCCATTCTACTAACACAAGTGACATCTAGTTACCATGGTAATCTACGTATCTGCAACAGTAATCAAGGACATTTTTCCCCTGACGTATCTGCTCCCTCTGTTATGTGAGAACATGTTCCTGCTATCCCAAACACCGCTTCACAGGAAGGAAAGAGATGATCTCCTCTCTGAAACGGCCATCAAGGTCATCGGAGCAAGTAGAAACCAGCACGGATATCTCGACTACGACAACTCAGTGGGTCAGAAGAGTTGACGCAATTCCTCTGGAGCACCTTATCGAGGTGAGAGCAGAGAAATAAACGTGTCTGAGGACCTTGTTTTGCTTTCGTGCTCGGTTCAATAGCTCTGCTGCATTGGCTTCCTGTGATGCAGGAGCGTGATCAATAATGGGCCTCGATGGCGGGGTGTGCCCCGTGAAGGGTCGCGTCAACTCTGTGGTTAATGTTGTGACACAGTTTTAATGTTCTCAGACCAACAAAGCTCACACGTCCCTCAAATACAAACAAAACACTATAAACAGTCTGTCAGTGAACAATGAGATAATTACATAAATACCAAATATTAAGGGATCCTAGACTTTAAATCTGAGAATTATTCCAATAACATTAGCTCTAATCCTATTTTGTAATATTCCCTGACATTTGGAACTACCTACATCCTTCCAAGAATATCGCAAATGAACAGAACAGATTAAAAGGCAATGGAAAAAAGATGCATCAGCACTAAAACATTAGTGGGAAAGCAGCCATCTGTGCAAGATACAGTACAGACTGTGGGGTTCCCCACGTCCCAGTAATCCAACAACTAAACCCAGACAGAGATTAAATCTGCAATAAAAATCTTTTTCATGAGCTATTAGATGTATACAGCCAGCCTGAGTGGCCTACTGCAACAAATGATTTACAGCAGATTCGGGAAGAAATGTTTGAATAATAGCGTATTCTACGGTAGGGATGTCCCGATACAACTTTTTCACTTCCGATACGATACCGATATTGCAGTCTTCGGAACTGATCGATACCGATATCAATCCGATACGATATCAGCACAAATCAAACATACTTTTACCTATTTCATAGTGTGGAATGTATGAAAGGCTTGATCGAGTGAATAGCCAATAACAGTAAGTAGGGCAGGGCAATAAATCGAACATTTAAGTTTCTGACTCTTATGGGGATAAATTTTCCCATGACAATAAATTTGATACTTAAAAAATGAAAAGATGTGTGTAGGTTGGCAAAATGCATGTCCCTTTAAGAAACTGTACCACCTGGAGTCACGTAAAAATGTGACTCGAGGTAATACACGTGACAGCCCCATCTAGTGGACAACTTTTGTTGCTCCGCATATCTGTACTTATCGTCCATTTATCATTATCGAGCTGAAATCCTCAGTATGTTGTGATATTGATGTTAGGCCATATCGCCCAGCCCCAACAGTAAGTATGAAAAAATGACAATATTTTCTTAACCATTGGTTGCAAAAATGAGAACATTAACGGACTGCTTATATTGGAGATTTTTCATGCCGTCCGATATAATCTGATACACTGTTTTTGGGCCGACATCAAATTACTTCCGATATCAATATTGAAACAGGACATCCCTGTTCTACGGTAACTAAGAATAGATCACTGCAATGCATTGTGGGATGTAGCCCTAGACAAGCAAGCATGTATTTTGCATGGGTGCAGATGGGTCGTAGTCGCTCCGCTCGTCTCAAAGTTGTAGTTTCGTCTTCTAAAGACGTTCAAACAGGAAAGACCGCTGTACCGCTGTTGGAGGTGCTGATCGAACTGATACCCTGATTGGATGTTGGAAGGGACATTTTTCATCAATTTTCCAAAGCCGGGTAAGGTCCGCGACAACATGAAACACCTGGAGAAGGAAATGGGGCCGAGCTAAAGACAGACAAAGCAAAGTGGTGGCAGTTTTTATTTGGAAGAGCGGATTTTCAGTGTGGAGGAGAGATCAAGGGGTGCGCAAACATTTTGCTGAAGGGAAAGATCTCATCCTACGTCCAAGAATAATGAGCCGATACTAGCAAGGCTCTGAGGCAGCAGTGTAAACCAAGAGATCCAGCTGAATGTCTCGGCCAAACAGCATCCAAACTTGGACGAAAAAGGCTTCAGACTAAAGGTGGGTGGTACGTTAAAACGTAGTGGTCCAAATATTAGCCTAGTTAAAAACAAGAACTTGCAAACGTTATTTGAGCACTTTGAGTCATGAGTAACAATTTGAGCATTAACGTTTTAATATGTCTTTTGTAGAGGCCGACCGATATATTAGTCAGCCGATAGATTCAATTTTTTCTTTATCAGATGAAATTATTTGTAAAAGCTGATAAAAAAAATGAATTAATCGGGCGCCTGTGTGGCCAACTGCCACCGCTACTAGATGGAAGAAAGGACCCCAAGGAACCCAACACACCTTTTTTTTATGTTTTCAGTTTGTTTTATATTTGAAGTTCAATAAATACTAAGAGATTTCTTGACTAATTTATATTGCACACAGTGAGTGTTCAGTTGTCTTTCACAATCAATGTGCTGCTAAAACTTATCTCGGCCTTAATAATCAGCTTTAGATATCGGCCATCTGCAGCAAAACTCTTTAAAAATCGGTATCGGCACCAGCCTTAAAAAACCCATATCGGTCGGCCTCTAGTCTTTTGGGTTGTTTTTATCTATGTCCAAGCGCTCTTTCTGCCTACCTTCAATTGGTAAATGTGGTTTGTTTGTCTAGCGCTAGCACCCAGCAGCACTTTCGCGGTGACGTCTACTAAGTAAGAAATCTAATAAGGAAGACAACGAGAACAACAAGCTAGTTGTGTCGACCCCAATGTGGTGCAGAAGTCTGGAGATTACACCCAAGACACGCATGCTCACACTCCCTAGTAAACATCAATATTGCTCAAATTTGTCTCATTAACGAGGTACAATGGATTAAAGGAAGGGTCAGGTTAATTATCTGGTTGCATGGATTAATCCATTGGCTGACTTACCTAAATAGAGAGATGCATTCTCCTTCTTCACGTTGTCATCCAGGTATGTGGGCCCCAGGGTGTAGATCGGCGTCGACCCCATGCCCACCAGTATCTGGGCACAGATGAACAGCGCCACGTACAGGTTATGCTCATTGCCCTCTTGGTCACGAGGACATGACGCAGCATCGAGCAGCTCACGCCCGCTGTTGTTCTCGCTCTGACAGAGGCCTTCGTGGCCCGTCGAGGAGTTGATCTCTTGGATCTGGTAGGGTGGCGAAATGAAGTGCGGCAGGGAAAACAATGCCGCCCCGATGGTGATAATAACACCGCCCACAGCGAGCCAACGCGGCCTCTGACCCCTTCCGCCAAAGTAAGAGATGAAGACCACTACTAGCAAGCTGCCGATGTCGAAGCAGCTCACCAGCAGGCCAGACTCGGAGCTGCGTAGACTGTAGCGCTTCTCAATGGTGGTGATGACACTGCTCAGGTAGCCTGACACCATCAGGGACTGGATGAAGGTCAGGTAGCACATGCAGAACAGGAAGCAGCGTGAGTCGCTCAGGATGACTCGCACATACTTCCTCGCTGGGATGTGGATAAAGCGGGTGAAAGAAAAGCCTAGATTTTCTCCTCTAGAGCTAGAGGGCCTGTGACCTTCTACTGGTATAGATCTGCTAAGCCCCACCATGCTGGAGACGGAGAAGTCTGTCCAGGAGGACGGGGACTCTGCCTGGCTGGAGTCTGGAGTTTTCACCTGTAATCCTTCGTGTCTCTCCACAGCCACACAGGTTTGGGTGGCAGTCTTACCGTCCTGCTGGCATGGTCCAATCAGGATGGGTAAGCTCTTGGACTTGAAGGAGTTATCTGTGTCCATGTACTGATCCTGAAGCTCCTGGATCTCCATAGACTCTGACAGATCGCTGCCAGTTTCGTAGTTGTCTGATGAAGTCATGGTCTTGATGTTGTCGGTGTTGACAAGTCCATCAGAATCCAGAGGACAGGAGGACGATGTGGAGCAACTGCAGGGCTGGGAGACTGAGAGGAGGCAGACAAAACCTCGCTCTTCTGTGGTTTATTCCACATTTCTCTAACCAACAAAGACAATCAATCTAAGACAGTATCTCACAAAGCTAAGCTTTTGACCCCTGGCATCTCTTAACATTTGTCTCGTCTCTACAATTAAAAAAATTAAATATTCTAAATTATCAGGAGTACTTTGCTTTTATTTCCCATAAATTAACATTTGGCAATGAATCGGAAAAAGGTGATGTCACATGTTGATCTTATGGCTCTTTGTTAGGCTTTGCAGCTTTTCAAGTTTCCTTTGTCCCAGAAATGTGCAGCATCCCTAAAAGTATCAGAAAATAAACATTAATGAAAGCTTTATCTAAAGTGAACATGTTTATATGAAAATAAAATAAATCAAACCCTTCTCAATCCTGTTTTGTTAGCAATTCTAGAGAAAGAGATTCGAGCGGTCGCTTTATATCCATAAATTACAACAAAATAAAACAAAATGTGGTATAAAAACGCAGCTCGCGCTCTCAGACAACCTGCATCGATATCAGTGTCAATAAAATCACAAACATCTTAATTCCCTTTGATTAAAAAAAAGACAACAGAGAACAAAAGAGCTCGAGGTTCACAAGCGACTCAGACGTGACTTAAAAAACATTTCAACAGCAATTCTACGTTAAAATTAAATGAGTCGATAACTGAGCGACGTGGACAAAAATGACTAACGGAGGTAAGGTGTCATGGTCATGAGGTGTGTGGAAGGCTGTGGTACTCACACCGGGCGGGCTGAAGAGGGAGGTAGCCTGTTGTTCTCCGCGCTGCGGCCACACTGAATGAGGCTAGGAGGTGCGGGGAGCAGCCTGCTGCCGGAGGACGTTAAAGACCACTTCACGGCTGTCGGAAATTTCCACTACTCTACTTCAGAACGTAAACAAAAATGCAAAAACGCCACGTGCGGTTAAATTTTATTTGCTAATGTTCCCACAAGACGCTAAACACATTTAAAAATGTTATATGTCGTGATTCAAACTGATTTTTCACGTTATAGTTAATAATAGTTTTAAAATATATTTACTCTGAAAAATGTGCTAATTAAATCACTTATATTATTCTATACCCATGTAAATTTAGAAAACGTACGTATGTTATTATATATATAATAATTTTATTGGCGACTTTTCGCTACACAATGATAAAAGTCGCATAGGCTAACGGAAATCACATTTACAACCGTTTAGCTGGCGTCGTGTAGCTGCTTTTTCTAGACACGCTGGGAATTGTAGTTTTGTAAGCAAGTTTGCCTTTGACAACCTTACTAAATAATTAAAAATGACGCTTGGGGCTACAACAAGCCACAAGAAGCTGCCTTGAAGAATTTAAGTTTTTTTTTTGTTTGATTAGCCTAACCAAATGACTGTAGAAATAAGGCCTAAACCAAAATGGAACTTCATGTACCAGCATGCTTCTCGGTTCATATGGTGGCCTATTTGGTCACGTGGGACAGCTGGGATCCTTTCTGCCAGCAGAAGCCGTGCAGAATTGGACGTTGGCCCGTCTGATGCAATAAACAGACACCAAATTGAGATTTGCGTCAGTATGTCACTGATGAGGAAAATGTTTTGCTAAAAATTTAATTAATTGATTAAAACGATTTATATAAAACAATATAAATCACACTCGCACTGTGCGTTGTGTGCAAGCATTGTGTTTAATATACAAAAATTTAATTTAGGACAAAACCTTTATGTTTGTATGTGTAAAATTATTAATTTTAATAAACAGTAGATAGCATCCCAAATGCTTCAGTTTAAAGAAATAACTTCTACAGCCCCAGTCTCCCAATTTTAATTCTATAACCTTCTCACTGCCACACAATGTTTCACATGGTTATCTTAGACATAAATATCATGAAATTCCTGCAGCACCTGAACTTTGGCTGCACTGAAAGGGCAGCATGCTGCTACTGCTGGTGATGCTTCCTCATCTACATTTAGTCTTACACGCAATTAAGCAAGCTCGATGGTGGTGGGAAAGGTTAAATACTTTTGATGGTTGGAGCTGATTGAATAGGCTGTAATTTAGGCTGCATTCAGAATAGACATTAGTTAATCAGCTCTATAGGAAGATACTGATTTCATAGGAAGCCATCTATAATGGGTAAGATAGCCTTTATTTACAATTTTTACTCAAAAACACTTGTTGAATGGCTCATATTTGTATCTCTTTTCATGACAGCACCTCTGCTTAAAGAGACTGATGAATACCTCTCTCCGAGGACGGTAATTAATTAAGTGGACCTGATGATTGATCACCTCCTCTTGATCTGATGCTGTTTGGTTCCTGCCTCATCTTCTTCTCACCGCCCACGTGTGTTTTATGTACAATCTACTGTTTTTGTGTTCTTATGTTTACACAAAGGACTGGTGTCTATTGACAGTCACCTCCTTTCAGCAGGTTGTCATCTCTGGCTAAAAGATGAACAAAAACACAAACCAAAATAAAATATAGCCCTTTTATAACATCTCTCAGAAAAAAAGAATGCACTAAAGCAACTTAATTCCATTTAAATATCACAAAAAGCAAAATTGGTTATTGCTGTGAGTGTTCGTTTGCATTTAAAAATGCTGCTTCTGATACCTCATTTCTGTTTGTTTGCCATGAAATTTTGGGGGGAAAAGCCAAATTTCCACCTTGCCTTCAGCAAGATTTTATTCTGAGAGTCAAAAGTCACTGATTTAGACTGGAGCCTGAAGACGTTTAGTTAACACACGACCTTTCATCAGACTTAGAAAGGATATGGAGAACTCACAAATGACACAAGCAGCTTTTTCTAAAGGTTAACACGAGAAGAGTCTCAGAACTTGTTGTAATGGAACACAGCACAACTTTAGTCAGTATAAATACCAATCAGAAGACATGATCCCAGAATTAAACAAAAATATCTCCATGTGAACAAGACATGTTTTACAGCTGTGTATCATTTTAAAGTGAAGCAGCAACAAAGTTTTCAAGTTAAATTCAGACGTCAACCATGATGAGTAAAACTTGCAAATGCTAATTATGGAGACTATAAGACAATAAAAATTAATTATATTTAAATAATTAGTGTTGTTTGGCAAAGTCTTGGGTAGTTTTGTGCAGAAAATAACTTTTCTTCATCAGTTTCTCATTCAGAGCTCATTTTAAAAGTACCTTTTCAAGCATATTTTCATAAAATTTAACAGAAATTACACACAACGTTTCAATCTGGTGCCTTCTGCATCAGATATTATGTTTTATCGGTTTGGGAATTCATGGAGCTGTTTCCCCTCAGGAGACAGAAGAACAACACCGCCCCCTAGCGTTCAATCTAATGCACTAAAACCAGAATTAGTAGAAAACCGGTGTTCTTAGAGCTGACCAGCAGAGGGCGCTTTGCACCTAATTTTATCAGGAATTATTAAATTAAATTAAATTAAATTAAATTAAATTAAATTAAATTAAATTAAATTAAATCAAATCAAATTAAATACAGATCAAAGCATTTTTAAGAATCTATCCCAATTTTGTACTGAAATGACAAGAATATGCTAATCATTTATACCGCTCACTTTTTTTTTACGACTCATTAGAAAAATCCCACAAACACCTCAACAAGAGTGGTTCACGTCATGCTGCAAATATCTAGCCATGAAAACAGCTTGAAATTACTTTCATAGTGTAAAATTAAAAGCATTTAATGCTTGGATTTAAGTGATTATTGGTTTAAACAACAAAGAGCCACATGTGGCCTCAGAGCTGCAGACCTCTGGGTAATGATGAGAATATTATCAAAGTTATAAGATGTATGCTTGGTTTACATAAACATGATGAGTAGGTAGGATGAATGGGTGAATGACCTATTAGGTCTTGGAGGGAAACTTTGAAATACTATAGCAGCAGTTATGTATGTCAGAAAGTATCAAGCAGCACAAAACAGTGTTAAGTTAAAAATTAAAACCAGAAACTGGCTCACCAGTGGGAGAGAGGCAAACACAGCGGAACCGCTGAGAATAAAAGAACATGGTCAACTCTAAACGTAGATCTCAACTAAATGATGATTTGTAAACAAAAATCCTTCTGTCAGATGCATCATTATGATCTGTAGCAACACTTCCCACGTCCTTGGACCCCCTCCTCACCCACACTCTTCCTGTTAACCATCTCAACTTTATCGACGTTACAGGAATCACTAATGAAGCTCTGTCTGTTCCTGAGCTCACTCCTGTCTGCGTGTAGAGCCGTGAAACGACACAAACTCATACAGACACTTGTTTATGAACAGACCCCCCCATCCCCCTGTCAAGCATATGTTTTTCCTGTATGCAGCCTGGGCTGATATGTGTCGGGAACATGGCAGAGACTGGGGCGTCTGGATTTGTGACTGGAAATCCGGAGTGATGCTGAGAATTCCTGGACTTTCTGAGGGACATCCGATTGATTCATGCGCTTTTTTTTTTTTTTTTTTTTAGAAAATGTGCAAAGTGATTGACCTTGTTGTGACTGATTGTTACACATCTTCATCAGCATCTGGGATGTGAGAGGACTCCACTGAACCCTGACCCTCTTGTTTCATCACAGTCCTTTTAACCTCCCGAGACCTGAGTCTGTATTTGATGAGATTTAAAAGAAAAAATACATCCAACTATTACAGAGTAGTCTACTCTCATGAACGGAAACAAATTAACAATTATTAAAATAAAATGAAAATTAAATTAAATTAAAATTGTATCACATTTTCCATAAAAAAGAAGGAAAACAAGGATGATAAAACTTTAAAAGTGCAAAGAGCCGATGTCCACATATGTGGACACGGGGCCCTGGGAGGTTAAAGCTACACTAAGAATTTTTAACACTTTAACCAATTATTTTAAAAGTCGGGTTCAGTGATTCTGCAGGTAGAAACTCGTCCATCTTCCCATGTGACACAACTCTGCTCACCAGAAACAACATTTAACAGTTTGGTGGCGCAGGTAGGTGCCCTAGCGGTGCTCTTTACCTGCGTAACAGCTGTTAGGTTGTTTTTTTTCTGTGCAGGTAGCTAATATAACAGCCAGCAAGAACACAAGAAACAGAAAAAAACTAAAACTAGCTTTTTAGTTGGCATCATGGTGGAAGTAAAAGTGAGAGAGAAACGTTATTGGAGTCAAAGCAAAAAGCTAAAACGAGAGTGAACATTGGCCTACACAACACATCTGAGGGAGCTAAAGGAGGATATGAAATCACTGATGGTGACCTGGCTTTGTTGTTACTGGACTTGTAAGCAATAACAACGTGTCTTTTTAATTTGTGGCTTATTTTAGTATTAGTTGGCTCATGTTAATGATAGCTCATTGTTAGCGCTAGCTACAGCAGGCTGCTGCAGGGTTGTTCACGACAGTTATAATTCCACTTTCAACCAGTAGGAGGGATAAACCGGAAACTGCAAGCATTACTTTGTTTTATCCGTCTTCTTTGTGCTTCTTTGCAGCATTCCTGTGTTGTGAAAAGTCTGTGTAGCTGGGACAACACCCTTAATTAGGTTTAAGCTCTCTCTCGGATCGGTTTGCAGCTGGAAGCCTACAGAGCATCTGATGCATATGAATGCAGGCAGTAGATCAGGGCAGAGAGGTGGTGCAGGAAAAGTGCAAGGGACCCAAAATAAAGACCCCTCTAGTGTAGCACAGGCCCCCCGCGATGCAGAGCAATCCCAGCAGATTGGTCCCCATGCTTATGCTAAAAGTCCTCTCCCCCAGACTAGATCCATCCATGACAAAGACAAGCTGAATGTTCTTTTCCTAATAAATCACGAGGACATTAACAAATATGTGGCTTGTAAAGAAAAGAAGACAACAGCTCCCTTCCCTGTTGTAGATCTTTAACACTGATAGCATAAATCTTTTATTAGC